GAGAGAGAAGATATCTCTTTTATTTATTATTATAAATGATATCTATTATTTTATATTATTTACTAATTTATATCTTATTTTTATCACCTTACAGTTAGGATCCAAGAGTTAAAAAAAATTTCTTCTCATATTTTATTACTTTAGACGGGTAGAAAGCTAGAAATTGAACTTTCATTTTCCCTCCTACTGCAGCCAGTCCGCGTCCTCTCTTTTGAAGTGTTCATGCATCTTTGTTTTTCTTTATTATAGGTAAAATTATATATTTTAATATTTACTTATAAAATGCCTTATTAAATATATGATATTAAAGGTATAAATGAGCTGAATTATCTGTAATAAACTCTTTTTTTATAAACAAATTCCAGTTTGAAATTAAACTCAACAATTTAAATGAGTCAAGCACAAGTTTACAAATTTGATATTAAAGACTTGCAAATAATTTGTTAATTAAATTGAATTTTATTATTCTTTGTTCTTTTATATTCATCATAAAAATATGTAAAATTTTATTGAAAACGTTAAAATTAATTTTGACTTCTAAAGTAGTAAAAAAAAAAAAGTCATAAAGTTTTATCCATTAGATTAAGAAATGCAAAATTTGATATATTTTGTCAAATTTCACACCTTAATTTAATAATTATATGACATTTCTCTTGATTTTAGCGAACCTTATCCCCAGCTGACTTCAAGAATCTCTAATTAATGTATATTGTATTTCTTTTAAGTTTATACAATTAGCACAAAAGTTTCACAGCCAAGATAATTTAGTTTAGATAATTGACTAGCTAATATATATAAATTGTTGTAATTTTTTATTACTGAGTTTAATTCTTTCATATATATATAAAAGGAGGGATTCATTTTATTCTAGAAAAAAGTCTACCTAAACTTATTATATTCAAATCAATGTATAAAATAATTTTAATACATATGATTATCCGTCAATTTGAATTAATGAAATATATATATATATATATATATGTATGTATAGAGAGGAGAGATCCTTTTACTCTAGGAGTAAGTCTACTTAGACTTACTCCGTTTAATAAATCATATTTTACATTAAATTTCAACGATCCAACCGTTCAATTTAAAGTTCTTAATGCATAGATCAAATTTGCAAAGTTTTAGAAAATTTGAAAATCATTTGATACTTCGTTTCATTAATTCGATTCAATGTATAAAATGATTTTATGATTATCCGTCAATTTGAATTAATGAAATGAAGTATCAAATGATTTTCAAATCTTTTAAAAATTTGTAGATTTGATCTATGTATTAAGAATTTTAAATTGAACGGTTGAATTATTAAAATTTGATGTAAAATGAGTTATTGAACTTATTCCTGAAATAAAAGGATCTCTCCTCATATATATATATATATATATGCAAACACTAAATTAACTAATAAATATAGCAGTAAAACATAATTAATTACGATCTCCGCTGTATAGAGTTGATGATGTTGACTAGAAACACAAGATCAAACCTTTGCTATTGATTTTTTTTTAGAACTAATAGTTTGCTTTTATAAATTTTTTTAAAAATATTTAAGAGAGAGAGAAAATTTAATAAATTATTATAATTAATTTATGGATAAGTTATTTTAAAGAGACTCTCTTTTATTAACTTCTAAAAATTTTATTTTTAACTTATACATAAATTAGTTTTAACTCATAAAAATATTAATTATTTCAATTTTTTTTTAGTACATACACTTGCGAATATTTTTATTCAAACATGTCCTAAATGGTTTTCTTTTGTAGACTGTATACCTTAGCGGCTTCTATAATTTTTTAGGTTGTTTGGTTGTTATTATTTAGCCCTTTAAAACAAGTCAAAAGGTATTAGTGATTTAGAGAAGAAAAAGAACCAAACAGAAAAATTTGGGAGAGAAAGAAGCTCACGAATTTAGAGTCCTTCTCTTTAAAACTTGTCTCTAGAATTTCTTTAAAAATGAACTTATGAAGCTCCCTTTTCAGAGAAAACCTTATATACTCTCCTCTCTAGCATCCACTAAACTCTGAACCAATTTATTACGTTACACTTATTAACTTCTAAATTTTTTATTTTTAATTTATACATAAATTAGTTTTAACTCATAAAAACATTTATTTCAATTTTTTTAAGTAGGTACACTTGCAGATATTTCTATCCAAACATGCCCTAAATGGTTTTCTTTTTAGACTGTATACCTTAGCGGCTTCTATAATTTTTTAGGTTGTTTATTGGTATTATTTAGCCCTTTAAAACTTGAAAGGTTATGATGCAAAAAGCACAAGTCTGTGGTCAAAACAAGAGTATTGGTAGGGAAATGACACACATATGGCATGTGTTACTGTTGTGTGGAATCTTTTTCCTGCTGGGGTATAGTACCTATGCAAAAATCCTCTATGGATAAATTGGGGGTATCCATAGCCATTTGCGGATATCTAAGAATTTAAAAATAAAAATACACCAAAAAAATTATTTTATCGATTTATATTATAATTAGCTCAATGATTTAACATCTTATAAAAATCTTAAATAACATATAAATTTAATTATATTCTATAAAAAAGTTGTACAAATAATTAATACATGGGTAGTATATATATATTTTCAACATTTTATAATTTTAGTCTCATAAGTAAAAAATTTACTGGGAAATAAAAGTATAATTCTTACATTTATTGAATCTCTGGTCCAGTTCCAAATTAGAGACATATCTTTACTTTCCCATACAGCTACAGGAATTTATGCAACCTATTCCACAAATGTCGGAAGATGTTGTAAGGAAATACTGGTCACTGCAGGTTGATCCGAATGTCCCAGTTTGGAACAGAAATCATAATTTGTTTCGATAACTACTTCTAAAGTAACAATATAGAAAAAAAAAGTTTTTTTTGCAAAAAATAATTTATTTATAAATTAAAAATAAATTAATGCGGAAGAATTTCTATATACTTATTTTCTTGGAAATTTTTGCCATGAATAATTTTTATTTATTTATTTATCGTAGAAGAGTTTACGGATATTTATCAAGTGTTTGTTTTTTTTTTGTAAAAATAGGAAATGTTAAGTGTTTGTTTACTGTTTACACTTAAGTTAAAAGTAATTTTTTTAAGGGTTTATCTACTTAAAAATAAAGAATATATTTAGAAGATTAAAAGTTAAAACAGAACTTTTAAACTTTATCTAAAAGACTCAAAATATTGTTCCATTTCTTAGCGAATGATAAAAGAACACTGAAATGTTTTTTTTTTAAGTAAAAGATGAAAAGGTAATACAATATTTCGATCATATAATTTAAATAAATAATTAAGATTAAAATTAATTTAAAGTATTTTAACATAGATAAATTATATTAAAAATTTATTTTGCACTCCTTTAATTTTAAAATTTTAAAAATTTAATTAATTTACTTGTCAATTAATTTTCTAACATATTAATTAATATTGATATGACATATTAATTATTAATGTGATATACTATTAACTATAGATGTGACAGTATTTACGTATCACGTTAATAATCAACATGTTTCATTAAAAAAAATAATCAAAAACATTGAGTCTGATTAAAAATTACATCAAGAATTAATTAATAGTATTAGATGATTAATTAAGAGAAGATTGTGCTCATTTCTCCTAAATTTTGTTTTGATGACATACACTTTCCTTCTAATTTTAAAATATTTTTTACTTCACTTAAAATAACATCATTAATTAAAGTAAGAAAATTAGAAAAAAAAAAATAAGAGTCAATTTATATTCTATCAATCATATACACATTTATTCTTTAGTTCTAAATTACTTATTATTTTGACTACAAGGATGATCTCGTAATCGGAGTACTAAGTAGTTCTGTTGACTCTATTTTCTTTAGAAGTGTTGTATTTCTAGTATGAATCCTTTTTCCTTAAAGTGTCTCCTTCTTTTAAGTTAGTAAAAAGGCTTAAAAGTCCTCATCTTTCGATCGAACTCCTTATCACACTGTTATCATTTTTTTTTATTATGTCCATGATCTTGGGTTCTGTGTATCTTGAATATACTTATCTTATCAAATAATGGTTTATACCCTTTATTTGATGCTTTAAGTGAATCATCATTTTTGACATAAAACATTAGTCGATGACGCTCCTATGATAAGGTTGGTTGACATTAGATGACACATCATGGTCAATAGATATCAAATTTGTGAGGATACGCATATAATATCATGTTTTCTTTATGAAAATTTTCATTATTTTTCAATTTTAAAAATAATAATTTCTCTATCTATTCTTTAAAATATTTCTTAAAATTTATATATTTTTTTAAATCATAACAAATGTGATATTTATAATATAAGTTGAGAGCTAAAATTAATAAGAAATCAATGCTCATTCAATTGTGGACATTTAAATTAATAATTTATTCTCTTTCAACAATACAAAATATAAAAGATTGTATGTGTTACTTATCGAAATAAATAAGAAAAATTAGTTTCAATTAAAAAATAAAGGAGAGGAGTAAGTGATTTAATTAAAAATGCAATTTATTTATTAATTATTACGATGATAAAATATACTAATAAAAAATTGAGTAACTAAACGTAGAAACTAAATAATAAAAAATGCAAAATTATAGAACATAATAAGTAAGAAAACGTGGAATGAGCCAAATAAATATGAACAAGATTTGCAACTTTTCTTTTGTGGTAATGGAGTATATGTCCTCTCTCTACAAAAGCCGAATTGCATTAGGACAATTATTAGAAACTGAATGGATTGGATTTATCATACGAGTGTTGATCGAAAACTGAATTCCTCGCAAACTCCAGGTCACTCGTTAAATCAAAAGAAAGCTTTGGTGATCTAATAATTAACGAAAGAGTG